ATTCATTTACATGAAATTATCGAGTTAAATTCAAGTATATATTTATAAAATATATAATTTTTACAAAATACAATATTATTACAATTTTTCAGAAAAAAAAAGAAAAAGTTTGATAAAATACTAAATTTCAAATAATATAATATTGAAAAGAAAATTATTGAAATAAATTGATTTTATTATATTGAGGTCCTTAGATTTAATTAACAATTGTCAATTAAATAATTATTTATATTTGAAAAATTGAGGCAATAATTCACGATGACCTCTTAATGTTTTGACACTTCTTTGATATATATATAATTGCTATATGAGTCATATATATTTTTTTTTTATTATACCAAGTTTTTTTTCTGATCAATATCGCAAACTTCAAGGTCCACCCTTAATAACCATCTTTTTCCATGCCATCGCGCTTTAATCATAAAATATACTTTCAGCGTAAATTCTTTCATAATGAACTAAACTTGCAACTTTATTATATAACACATAAATCACTAATTTTATCATCACAACCATCGACACCTGCTTCCATAATTATTGAAGGTTTTTCAAACTCATATAAGAATTTCATTATACATATATATCGCGCGCGCAATTATTCATCATTTTTTCCCTTTTTTAAGACGAAAGTGTTTAAAAAAAATTAGAATAATCGTAATAAATAATTTATAATTGTTTTAAGCAAAAAAAATAATTTTTTTTATTCAATTTGGAAACGGAAAAAAATATTTATTTTGGAACAGTGATATATATGTTTCTTTAGAATAGCGAAAACTTTTGCTGTTTTAGCAAAACATGTTGTTCCAGATTTTTTTCCGTGTATATATATATATATATTTATACTTGCTAATCGACGTTTCGATTTTGTTATTTTTGTGAGAGAGAGAGAAAATAAAAGAAAAAAGTGAAAAAGTGACTGACAGCGGAAAGAAATTACGTGTATTATGGAATTTTTCAAGCGTTTCTCGTGAGATCAGTGCATTAAATAACTCCAGCGTTCAGTACGATGAATAACGATAGACTATTATAAAGCATAAATCGCTAAAGCAGGCCTGCGGGGTGGTGAACCGTCATTATAATGCGATTTAGTCGGCGCTTTAGCAGCTGGTAATACAGCCGCGAAAAAACCGACATCCTTACTTTTTTTATGTATATATATATATATATATAAACGCGGAATTTCCATAAAGGACCGACAAAAATTTCAAAATTTAAATATTTATTTTTTCCATATGATATCGAACAAGTTATCCCTCCAACCGTAGCGATCTAAAATCTCTTTTTCTTAAGTATCTTCCATATACACATTAGCCCCTATTTTCTTAAAAAAATTACCACCTCGTTAAAATGATGGATTTCTTAATTAATTTACATTAGAAATTCATTTTTTTTACGACTATACATATTCACATTTTTCATTTTTCTCATATTCACCCAGAGAAATATTTTATTTGCATTATTCTTTTTTAAGATAAATAAAATTTATTTGAATCAAATAAAAATATATATTTGTATATATCTAATAATTTTTTATTTGTTTTAAATAAAAATTTGAATTTCAAATAAAATTTTATTCAGTGCAAATTATATTTAGAGCAAATAAATTTTTTTTCTTTTTTAAACAAATAAATATTTATTTGAAGCAATAATAAAAATTTATTTATCTCCGAGACAAATATATATCTTTTATCTGAGTATATACACAATAAATTAATTTATCTATAAATTATATGACAATTTGTATTAATTTGGAATTTGAATTAATTAAAACAATTTTTATTCCCGGTTGATTAAATATGCACCTATAGAGAAACATTTTATTTGCATTCTTTTAAGATAAATAAAATTTACTAGAATCAAATAAAAATATATCTGTATCACAGTGTCTAATAACTTTTTATTTTTTTTTAATAAAAAATTTAATTTTAAAATAAAATTTTATTTAGCGCAAATTTTATTTAGAGCAAATAAAATTTTTTTTTGAAACAAATAATCATTTATTTAAAGCAAAAAAAAAATTTATTTATCTCCGAGAGACAAATATAAATAATTTGAATTAATTAAAACAATTTTTATTCCCGGTTGATTAAATATATATGCACCTAGAGAAATATATTTTATTTGCGTTTATTTGAAGCAAATAAAAATATATTTGACTCAGGGCCTATAATAACATTTTATTTGTATTAAATAAAAAAAAAATTAATACAAAATAAAATTTTACTTAGGGGGAATAAAATTTTTATTTAACTCAAATAAAATTTTATTTGTCAAAAATTAAAATATTTAAAAATTCGAATTGAATTTAATTTTAATTTTACAAGGAAAAGAAAATTATTTTTTAAAAAAAAAGAAGAAGAAAAAAGAAAAATGCAGATATAAAACGCAAGACGCGAGTAAAATTCAATTATATATACGGAGCTTTTTCTTTGTGACCATTTTGTTTGGTTCGCTTTTGCGCAAAGTCCCCGAACGAAAACTTTAGCCTTTTGTAATTTTCAATCGAAAGAAATTGTCGGTTTTTGTGTCGCCGGCATGACTTTTGTGGCGAATTAAAATAAAAAATAATAAAAAAAAAATTAACTGCCACTCTCAGAAGTCTCTCGTGTTCTCGTTAAAATATACTCGGGGGTCTCTCTAAAGAATATATATCTACACCGTCCCGCAGGAAGTTACGATACCACAGGTATTCTCACTTAATAGCGGCGTTCGCGCTCGAGTTAAGCCCCCGGCAAAACTGCCAAAGTGACTCCTCTCTAACTTTTGTGACGTCACTGGTACCTCAAAGAGCCGGCGCTTACAAATATTACGTATATATGACGAAAATCGATAAAAATTGACAGACACAACATTAGAAAAGAAACGAAAAAATTATTAAATATATAAAAAATGAAATCAGAAAAATCATTTTTTATAAATAATAATAATTAAACGATAATAATATTAATTTTACAATTATTAATTATTAATATATTAATTATTATATATTAATTCTTAATATTATTATTCATGATTAATAATGAAATAATAATAATAATAAATAAAAAAGTAATAATAATAATTAATATCAATATAATAATTATTAATATTATAATTCTGATATTATTATTTATTTATTTAATAATTAAAATTAAAATAAGGGGAAAAAAATTAAGATAAGTTTGAGAAAAGTAAAAAATTATTTAGAAGAAAAAAAATGTGCGAGGAAGAGTTTAAAAAACAATGTTTCAAAGGGTAAAAAAAAGGGGTGGGGGGCAGATGAGGGTGAAATAGGGGGACGTATTATCCTCCCACGCGGTTTCAGACAAGCCTCGAAATTCCGGAGATAAAATCGGCCGCGCTTGTTCGTTCAACCAATATATTCATAATGGCTCTCTCTTGTGTTTTCATTCTTTTTTTTGTTTTTTTGTTTTTTTTTTTTTTACCAAATTTCGTCTCTCGCGCACGTTCCGACGAAAGGCTCGTAATCCCGATTATGCGCAATTTTTTTTTCTCCAACGATATTCCCTTCTTAACTATGTTCCAAGAATGCATAAAAATCTAGATGGAAATATATCAATTTTGGCCTCATAATTTTCAAAAGAAAAAAAAAAATACACCGCGGCTTTATATATTATAAGGGCTTAATTTTTGATGAGCAAAAAAATTTTTTTTTTTAAATTATGGGACTACAATCGAGAAAAATTAAATGAGTAAAAGAAATAATAATTAATAAAAAAAAAATGTAAGTCTATAAATATAATAGATTTTAGTGAATATTTTCGAAAAAAATTATGATAATATTAACAATCATGATTATCATAATTCTATTTTTAAAGAAGATAATTTTATAGTTCAGAACAAAAATTTTGTAAGCGGGAATTTGTAATATATATCCCTGGCGCCTATACTTAATATTTGGATAATGTTTTAAGAATTAATTTTTTGCATTTGATTTATATTCTCAAATAGGCGCCGTAATTATATAATTATTTTCGAATAATTTTTTTTTTGTACGCGAAAAATAGTAATTTATTGAATTTTATTTTTTTAATGGGTATTTTCTTGAATTTTATTAATTAAATTTTAATATAAGCACAATTTTTTGCTAATTAATTAATTAATAATATAATAATGTTGAATAATTCATTTAATTATTAATTATAAATAAAAATTGTAATAATTAATATTAATTTTATATATTAATTATTTGTTATAATTATTATTAATAGAAAATATTATTAATTTTAATAATTTAATTAAACAATTAGTTTAAAATTAATTTTTAATACAAGTAAAATTACTGACAATATGTCAGATTTACTAAATAAACACTTTTAATGAATATATATTTGAAGGTTAGAAAATTATATATATATAAATAAAGAATTGGTGTGTGACAATAGTGAAAAATTCAATTGGCAATTAATTTTAATAGAAAAATATTTTTTAAATTATTCTATAGTAGAAAAATAAATAAATTTTGAGGTTACCTCGAATCGTTTGTTGATAATCGTTTAAAAGAACATTAATAATCGCATCCTCATTTTTACCTTTGTTGAAAAATTATGGACTCATATATATTATCAACTCAAAACACAATAGCTGCAAAAAGTACCATCCATATATTTCTGATTATTTTATTTTCTCTTGATCACTGATATTACTGTTTCACTGTGCACTTTTCAAAACTTTTCTAAACAATAACTATCAGCGCAAAACGTTGCTAATTTCGTTCTATTCGCGCAGACGGAAGGGAAAACTGACGTACGCCACTAGTCAAATGAGCAACTTATTGAGACTTGAATAATATTTCTAAATTAAATTTAATTAACAAAAAAAATAATATGAAGTTATTCCTAATCTTTTCTACGATAAAATGTGGTGCGATATATTTATAAGAATTGACATATAAATAATGTAATTGTAATTTAATATTCGTTTGCAATTTATATTATCAACGGAATTTTGCAATGAATCACATTTTATTTTCCACCAATCACAATAATCGCATTTATATTTCAGCCAATTAGAGCATAGGCCATATTGTTCGTCTGGTTGCCTAACTTCCTTCTTCACTATCACGGAAAAATCAGTTGAAAATTGACTGTACCTGTGCATATTTTCATCATTCTTCATCAAAAATGGTAAATATTTTTCATTATTTAATTCAATTTTGTGTTTTAATTGTTGTTTAAGTCATGTGGCATAATATTTTATGATAATTTCGTCGAGATATGATAATATCTCGACATATATATGTGACGAAGTATAGGTCATTCAACCGTCCTCATACAAACAGCTCATTGTTTGTCTTTTTTTTTGCTTAAAATTAAACAATTACGTAAAGTTATTATAAAATTCTGAACATTCATAATTGGTGTTATAAAATCATGGATGGTAATGTGGCATAATTGCAGGTAATAATTTTTTCTGAATCAATTAAAATGTAGGTTATGTTTAATTTTTTTTAATGCATAATTTTCACTTGTAAATTTAATTCGTTCATTTATCTAATAAGAATATAAATCATATAAATTAATGAAAAAATTGTTTGTCATCGTCATGTGAAAAGTAAGGTTAGGAAATATAGAAAATTATAAATGTATACATTAATAACAATAATGATAATAATTTGAAAAAGTGATTTTTATGACAAATTAGGTTAGGAAATATTACAGCAAATGAAACAATTTAATAATTTTGTTTCATTTTTTTTAAATTTAATTGTAGATTTTCTTTTTTCGTTCATTTTTAAAAATACTAGGTATTAATTGTTTAATTATAATTAAATTAGATTTTTTATTGATTTCCACTGTATTATTAATAATTTCTTAATGAATAACTTACTATTTATAAATCATTTTATTGTTTGTTCTTAAAATTGTTTAATTAAAATAAATTATATACAAATTATCAAATAGAAATGATAAAATATATAAAAAGCAAAATTTTCTAAAAATCGCAATTAAAATTTTCAAATAAAAATTAAAATTGAGATTTGGTTTTATTTTTAAAAAATCATTTATCATTTCTATTTGTATGGATATTTTTACTAATTTTTTTTTTATTATTTATAGCTGAAGGAGGTGAATTTCAATGAAGCTGTGATCCATAATGGACCTGTGTGAACTTGTCAACAGCCTGTCATTCTGTTAGCATGAAAATCTATTCAATAATGAGTCCCTTCTGTTTTCCATCAGCTAAATTTTGGAAGAAGGTAATAATAATTCCTCTCTTTATTTTTTTTGTGAGTTTTTTTAAGCAAAATTATTTGATTAAATTAAAAATTAATATTAAAATTCAATTTAATAATTATACTTAGTATTAAATTTTAATTAAATTATAATTGAATAATAACTTAGTATTAAATTTTAATTTAATAATAATTTAATCTACTTATTAACTTTTAATTATTATTATTATATTTTATTTATTATTTAAGAAAAATATTAAATTTTAATTTAATAATAATTTAATGCACTTATTAACTTTAATTTTGATTATTATTCTTTTATTTTATTTATTATTTAAGAAAAATATTAAATTTTAATTTAATAATAATTTAATGCACTTATTAACTTTAATTTTAATTATTATTCTTTTATTTTATTTATTATTTAAGGCCAGGTCCAAGTCGAGTCAGTTGTTCCTTTGAAGTTTCAATGGAATAGCTGACACGACTTGGACCTGGCCTTAAGAAAAATATTAAATTTTAATTTAATAATAATTTAATCTATTTAATAATAACTTTAATATTTATTATTTGAGAAAAATAATTTCGAGTTTTTTAAGAGATTTTTCGATGTAAGAATGAGATTTTCGAAAATTTCTTGTAAGTAATCACAGAATAGGAATGAATTGAAAATAGAATCAGATAACGGTTCAGGGGAGTCACTTAGTATGCAGCGATGCATTCATATCAATCGAGCCATGCATATGCAAAACTTTAGAGGGCACATATGTGCGAAAAACGCCAATGCATAAATTTATGCTCGTAGGCAATCCCTTATACACCGTGCAATTGTTAATTACCACCTTCATCCTTGTGGTATCCTTACATTAAAAAAAAAAGAAAAAAAAAATCCGTTACACTTTGTCTTTTTTTCTTCTCTTTTATTTTCTCAGAATCCATATATATAATCTCACTCTAATCTTTCAATAAATTATATCTTTTAATCGCGATGATGATTTTTGCTAATTTTCTTCATATGAGAGGCAAAAAAAAAAGTAAATCAAGATATTAAAATCCCTCGTTAAAAACCCAGGAACGTCTCTATCTATAGAATTTTTCTATGCTGAAAGCAGTGGCCCCACCAATCTCTCTCTCTCTCTCTCTTTTCATTGAAAACACGAAGAAGTCAGATTAGACAGAATATCTTTATCTAATTCTTAGTTCCACGAAATTCTGAAGGAGGCACACACGCAAACAGGATCAACGACATCCTGCGAAGGTGCATAGAAGACTTTCACGAAACATCGCGTGCCAACTTTTCCTCGCTATTTTGCGCGCCACAATTTTAACCGCATTCTTATTCAAGTTACAACATTTGCAAACCGCAAATACTTGAATATCGAATGATGAATTTTAGGTATTTTTTTCGGTCCTGTTTTTTAGTTTAAAAAAAAAATCGATAACTATTTTTATATGTAGTTTAGAATATATAATTAATTATAAATGATTTAATATTTGATTTTATCGAATAATTACTTTTTTTTAAAATTTTAATATTAAAATTTCTTTGAACATTTTTTTTTTCAATTGAAAATGAAATTTTTGTTTTTTTTTTGACATTGTATTGCAGAAATGTATTAAACCTCATGAATATTCACAAATTGCGAAGACAGTATATATAATAATAATAACGTTCAGCATAGTCAGGCACCGCCGCATTTAAGGGAGAGACTTTGACTAACGACTCAAGACGCTTAATTGACAATAGTATATTAATTTATATTTTTTTTCGAATAAATATATTTATTTTAAAAATAAGAATATTAAAAATGAAATTTGTTAAAAAAATGTTTTTTCGGGAAAAAGAAGATGTCTCTAAATTATTCCCCTTTAGGCTTAATTTCTATATATATATATATGATGAGAGATGCTTTTTTATAAGCCCCCGTCGCACTGAATTACGAGGCCACTTTCAAAACTCGCGAGAATAATAATATACACTATACGGATAATTACGTGCGCACTTACCGAAGTACGTGTAAACTTCCTCATTGCCCTTCATCTTTATTTCAAACGCTAAAAGTCATTTCTTTCACTTACCGGCTGAAAACAGAAAGAAAATTATCTTATTTTCAATTTTTCAACGTTCCAATTATATATAATTATATTTTAATTATCATTATATCATTATTATCATTATCATTATTTATTTTTATAAAAATATTATAATTATGATAATATTGTGATTATATATTTTAATTATGAAAATATTATAATTATAATACAGAATTTCTAGGGAAAATTTTTTTTTTTTGGCAATGGATAATAATTGTCTATATTTTAATTATTATATTATTATATAATTTTTAAATTTATTTTTAAACAAATAATTCACGTATATAAACCTTTATTGTAAGAAAATAATTTATTCCAATTTTGCAATTTCTAGAATTTTTTTTTTTTGCAAATTTTCCCCTATATGAAAGATCCAAAAGTGTTGAACGTTCAAATGAACAAAATTTTTTTTGTAACTTCTTTAAGTATACGAATTTTATTACAAAATATTGTTTTAAATATCTAAAAAGAAGTTATTAATTTAATATTTGTTTAATTTACTGTTTTATTTTACATTGACATTATAATTTCTAATAATTTATAGATTGAAAAAAATATTTTGTTCATTTGAACGCTTCTATATGAAATATATTATATTCATGTCGACAAGAAGCTTTTTAAGCGGCATATAAGTGAACTCACGCTTTCAATTAAGTTTCGAGTTACTTAAGAATCTTGTCTTTTTTTTTTGTTGTAGGATTTTTTTTTGCAATTTCTTTTCTTTTCTTATTTTTTGTTTGTCTTGATCTTAGTGCAATGGAGTTTTTCATGATGCTTACGGTTTCTGCGCGGTAAAGTCTGCTAAGAGGAAGACGTGATCGATGCCCGTGGGATGCGAGGGCGTTCCTGGGTGCGGGTGGTGGTTGAGACAAATGGACGTCGCGCGTCTCCCAACCACGCCCTTTGCAGAAGTATAGAGAGAGAGAGAGAGAGAGAGAGAGAAACCCTCTTTGAGTGCGTACATAGAGTGCTTCCACCCTCGGGGGTAAACCAGGTTACAAACACTATGTGTGTGTGTGTATGTGTGCCAGTCTAGGAAACGATAACTGCGTGTGCTGCAATTCAAGCGCCTCCGGAGATAAGTGTACCTCCAACATTGGCGTCAATATATTTAGAAAAAGAAAAAAAAAAACGCAAAAATACAATTGTATACAAAAAAAAAACTATTATTTTTAATTAAATAATAGTTTTATAATCCGACGAAAATTAACAATTTCCAAAAATTTAATAATAAATTGCAATTTTTCTCATTTTATTATTGCAAAAAAAAAAATTCTATATTTAAAAATTTACTCAATTTGTTTAAACAATTTAACAAAATACGAAAAAGAAAACTCTCTTTTAAAAAAAAAATTCATTTTCCAAATTGTTGGTTATTTTAAAACCAACACATATATATAATTGTGCTTTAGAAATACAACCATTTAATGAACGTTTTATTTTTCATTTTACGTCTCCTTTTAAAGTTTTACTGTTTGCAGTTTCTTGAAATGACTTTGTTTTTTCTTTTTTTTTTTTTTACTTTCATTTTATTTTGAAATAACGCACGCCAATGAGGAAACGGAAACAATCGTGGGTAGAAAGAAAAATGATCACTTTTTTTTTTTTTTAAATATATATACATATTTTTAAAAGAAAAAGGTGTGCGGCTATTAGCGTAATTATGCTATATATCGTTTCCGTCGCTAAAAGCCCGTCGCTATTAAATCTAAGCGCAAGGAAAGTATTTATGTTAGTTATGGCTGTGTATTATTGACTCAGACATTTTTTTTTTTTCTAAATAATTTACTCAATAGAGGCAATAAAATGCGTGACCGTGTTTTCTTTTTGAAATTGAATTTTTTTTTTCAACGTAAATAATTATTTATTCTTTTACAAATGTATTTAAAAAAAAAAAAATAATGAAAATTTGAAATATAACAAATAATATTATTAAAAATGCATAAAATTAAAATATTGTAAAAAACTAGTTATTGAATTAAATTAAACAGTTTGATATTTTTAATTAGCATAATTTTTTTTTTGCAATAATAAAATTAGAAAAATTGTAATTTATGATAAAATTTGCAAATTGTTAATAGTAGGAAACTAAATAAAATTTATAGGAAAGATTATAATATATAGGTCGGAAAATTAAATCGATCGGTTTATTAAAAGTTTGAGAAAAAGGGGGGTAGGTCATTATTAAAATCAAACAAATTGAGTATACATACAACAAGTGCCAAAGGCGTTCGTTTAGTTGTTCCAATATTATATATGGATCTGAAGCGATTTTAAATAATTATAACGACGAGCCTGAGGCTACTATATATATACGTTTTTGAAGCGAAACTGGTGCCAAATATGACTTCGGGTTATGTGAGCCAAGAACATCGTATTAAAGCGATGAATTCTTTGAAAATTTGAATAAATGTAAATTAAAATAATAATAAAAAAAATAATAACACAAGGCTCAAAACCATGTTAAATAATTGAAATTTCACAGAAACAAATAGTAAACAATTTTTTATTTAAAACAAAAATTTTATATATTTTCACATCAGTTTGGGACTGAATTTTATGCTGTTACAATTTTTTTTTTTTATTTTCAATATTTAATTAATTAAATATTTTTGATTTAATTTGGTAAATATTTAATTAATTAAATATTTTTGATTTAATTAGATAAATATTTAATTAATTAAATATTTTTGATTTAATTAGATAAATATTTAATTTTTTAATTATTATAAATTTAAAATCTTGAAAAAGTGCTAACGTATGACAATATTGTTATATCTATTTTTTCTTAATTTTCAGATTGGTCCATAGAAGAGGATCTGTTTCAAGAAAGTGATAATATGCCATCATATCGTATCATCGAACCACGACGCAGAAATTTTCGAGATCTTCAGCAGTAACCCGCACAGATGAAGCGCAGTAGGATTCCCCCAACGTGGGACTCACCAATCGGTGAGTCTTTTTTTTATTTTTAAAATCAATTAAAATACATTGAAAAAAATTTATTTGTTTCAAATAATACCTTATTAACAAATATTAATTTTTAGAAAATAATTTTTATTTTATATTAAATATTTATTATTTATATAATAATGAATAATTATTGAGTCAATTAAATGATATTTGTTTCAAATACAGAAATTTATTAATTCAAATTAATTTATTGGTTCAAATACAGTTTATTTAATAAAAATAAATATTTATTTGTGTAATTAGGTAACCGATTATTTTAATATAAATTTTTTTCAGTGCGCATAGAATTATTATTATTTTAAAGTTAAAAAAAAACACACAACTGAAACATTACAAGCATTTGAAATTAATATGACTTTTATTTGTCGACATTTCGAATAATATATATACACGAGATGATGCAGGGGAATATATAGAAGTGTTAAATGCAAATGTGACTGATGTTCTTTTAATAGATAAATATATACGTGTGGTTATTATTGAATGAAATTTTGGTGTTTGGATCACCCGCAGAGTTAAGTGACGTATCATTTCATATCTTCTCGAACTCGCGTGAATTCAATGTCGAAAATATAAGAATAATGACATTAGAATGACTCTTCATAAATAAAGTGTTAAACACCTGCATTTGAACCTGAGCGCGTTATCGCGCGAATCCCGCTGTTAGAGGATTGTAGTTATATATATGCTTCCTGGATGATAGTTAATGCTCGCATCTCATATCTTGACAAGATGGGTGGTCTCGCAATATTAGGGACGTGCCTATGACACACGTTATGTAGTAAATGATTCGTTGTGATTCCAATAATAATAATACTAATCATAATAATCAGAATAACCATTCCAGAAGCGACAATTCATTCACACATGCTGTGTGCTAAGAGAGTATCACCAGAAATTCAATTTCACACTCTCGTTTAACATTCCAACGTGTCACATATATATACCTCATTAATAAAAGTTACATTAGTCATCATTTCGTTTTATAAATCATTATTTTTAAGAACAATATGGTTTTATCGAAATTTCTATCTCTAAATAAAAATTTTCACATGAATTTTCGAAAGAATTTATATACAAAGGGTTTTTTTTTATTTGAAAAGGATGTATCATTTGTTTTAAATGTGAATAAAAAAATTTTTTTATGAAAAATTGCACCTACGAGAAACGATGTTAGTTAAAAAGCTCACGTGGGTAGGAGAAGCGTCCCTCGAAGCAAGTATAGTTGATAAGAATCTCAATTCTCGATAAATTCGCGTAGGTTGCTTATTCTTTTTTTTTCAAATATAAGCGTAATCGAGCGCATCGAATACATATGCATTGAATTAAATACTTCCTTAATAGCATTGGATATATATATATGATGAGCGTAGGTGTTCTCTTCGCGACTCCGCAGGCTGCTCATATAAAATCGCGTGTGCTGAATACCTTTTATATATATGCAATTGTCAAACGATTTATGTTAGGGAGATTTTTTTTTTTTTTTTTTTTTTTTAATATAATATTAGATTTTCTGCAATATATTTTTCGCTACCATATTTCTATATTCACGTCTTTAATATTATTATAGTAAAGAAAAATCATTAAATAATTAAATAGATTCGTTGTTCTTTGGAAATATATAGAGAAAAAATTATTTTCTTTCTTTTTTCTTATTTATGTCAATAAAATAACTATTTTCTCTATAAATAATTTTTATTTTTAAGTTTAAAAATAAAGTTAATTTTTTTTTTACGGGAAAATCCATCTTGATAATATAACTACAAGAGTCATGCAGAAATTATTAATCTAAGTCAACGCCTCAGCATCCGTCAAAAGACGCACAAGCGCGCGCGATGTCACGTACCATTCGGTGAGAAAAAAAAAATTAAGAGAACCAATGTGAATTTTGTAAAAAAAAATTTATTATCATTAAACAGAAAAAATAATAATTGATAATTGATAATTAATAATTAAAAGAAAAAATTTAAGGAAATTCTGTTGAAATTTTTCAATATCCAAAAGATTTGAAATCAGGAATAATTGCTCGCTGCGTTTCACGTTGCGGGAGGAGAGAATTGCCGCCTCCACCGACTCCCGGTAGTAATTATCGAATCCCTGCGCGCTCTTTTTATTTTCCTTATGGCCCCTTATATATACTTCCTTTATTTCCTCGCTCTCTCTCTTTCACAACCCCCTTTTTGCGATACACACGAAGAGCTTCTCTCACCGTCGTGTGTATTATTATTCGGTGTACACCAATCTTATATAGTATCGCGCGAGAGAAAGAGAGTATATATATATATATATATATATTGCAAATCAAAGCGAAAGAGGCAATGTATCCCGCAGCATCCGGATAGTCTGGATCAGAAGCTGCTCTGACGCGGAGATTACTAGAATTAAGCATCCCTTGCACTGATCCAACTGAATGCAGGCTAAAGGCGATCGCACACACACACATATATATTAGAACAACTTTGTATATATATATATATATATATATATATATACATATATATATGTACAGAAATCTATACGTTTTGTATAGTAGATAAATGTGTGAGTATAGTAGTATTTTTTTTTGTGCACAAGCAAAATGAAAAACAAATTTGTTACAGCACGCATATCGCCTTCATTCTATAATTACAACTTCACGCTGAAGGATTGCGAATTGGAAATTATTCCACTGTTACTAATTTTCCGCTCGTCTATTTAATTAGTCATATATACATCATTTTTTTTTTATTGTTTCATATTATTTTGAAGTTGAATTTCCTTTTTCTTAAGTAATCTCTCATGGAGTGCGAACATGGTTAGGTGGTTAGCGTATCGACTTACGAACGTTAGGGTCGTGTGTTCGATTCCCGGCGACTGGTAATTTTTCTTCATTATAGGTATTAGACAAATATCAATTTCTACAAATGAAAATTTGGCTAAATAATAATTCGACATAAGATAAAATTTC